TTGTAACATGTTACTTTATTTATAAACTATTACATGCAAATATTTTTACTCAACTTAAAAGACTGATAATTATGTAGTGAAAAAGTAAAGAGGCTTTAAATGCTTTTATTTTTAAGTACATAATTCTAATATTTTAACGTTTGCCTTTAGGAATCTACGAATTTTCTTATTTTTATAATCACATAATTACTTTATCTATTCTTAAGAGCACTTCTTTTACATGGTTAATTATAAGAATTATAATTCACACTATAATCCCAAAAAAAGAAGTAGTTTAACAAATTTAATAATACTACTTTAACGGAATGTCTTACTAATAAAGCAAATGTGCGCCTAAATAATTGTTTTAAGTTTTTGTCTGTAATTTGATATATAAAGAATTCGAAGTCACATCAAAACACTAAAAGTTGTGTATGACTATTTTCTAATTAATTAAAAAAAAGTATAAAAAGTCTTAATACTAATTCGAAAATCATTTAGTAAAAAATACAAGTAATGTAAGAGAGACAATATAGACGTAAATCCAGTCTTATAAGGTAATAAAGCTAAGCGTAAGCAAGTAAATGGAAAAAACTTATTACATAATGTCATCTATCCTATTTTGTGCTATCATTGGCAACTCACCGACTTTAAAATCAATATTTTGAATGTTCTTTTTGTATCAGTCTTCTACTTTAAAATTCTCACTAACTGTTCTAGAAAAGCCAATAACAAATAACAAGAAATGAATTAGATTCCTTCTAATCGAATAAAAATTCGATTTTTTAAATTAACTATTCAATAAATGAAAAACTGTTTTCCAAAGCTACAAGAGGACTAAAATAATTCAAATAATTTGTTTCTTGCTTCGTTTTTTTTCCTAAATTTTGAGATGGTTCACGATGTAAATATATGTGTTGTTAAAATTCTGGACAAAAACGTAATTTTTGGTGGCCAAGAAGTTTTTGATAGTGTCTTTTTCGATGTCGCTAATGAGTAGGTGGACCCCAATAACTTCGATTTTAACTCGACTAAATGGAATCGTTTGCAAAACTTGTAGCTCAGTTCCGCCAGATTCCAAACTTAGATAATCAATGTTGGTAACGTTTACCGCAAGCAGTAAGGAGTAAAGGGGAAAACATTTGACTCTTGTATTGAACCAGTCTGGGTCGTCTATCAGGCTATTTGCGTGGATGCTGTTAATTTTCACACCGTCTCGCTCTTCCTGGTGGAATGTTACCTTGAAAAAGAGATGTCTGAATGGCAGTTATTTTGAAATCTTAATAATATTTACTTCTTTTGGATACGGCGTTGAACTTAAGCAAGCATGAATAGCTTGGGAACGACCCCTGTTATGTCTCCTTAACTTAAAATAGTGCCTGGGGTCAGGCTGAACAAGAAGTCCCCTCCAACCCAATTCCTTTTCTAAATATTCTGTTTTTGAACTTTTGTCATCCCCATAAGCTCCTGCTTCCACAAAAAATCCTTCTTTCTAAAACAGCCACACATTTGCATATGGAAGCTTCTGCTTTCAACTTGTTTAATTAAAAACAAGAATGGTTTCTTACCTTATTATTTAAAAGCTTTAAAACAAACGCTGTATCAGAGGGTGGTTGTGGTCCAGTTGACTCTAAAGGCCTGTGGTGTGGTTCAACAGCAGGAACAAGTTGAACTTCTCTTATGTAAGTCACTAACTGTGGATTGTCTTGTGCAACCTCCAAAAGCTCATAATCTTGACTCATGTTAACACGAAACTGATGATGGCGCATTGCTAAAGGCAAGACAATGCCAATAAGTGTCTTTTATAGCAAATAATAAATGAAACAAATAATAACCTGTGTTGTCCATATATATAAGAAGTATTGTCATGACAGTAGCAAATGCCATAAAAAAGGCAGCTATGGGTAAAAGTTTTTTGAGTGAACCTGGAGATGAAATAATGTGGCCAACTTTAGCAGGGCTTGCAGACATATTTTGCGTAGAAGTCGGTGGTGGGCCTGGTGTGGAAGATACTGAGGGTACAGAGTTAGACCCCTGTTGGGCCATTGATGACACTTTAGTATCAGATTTAACAGTGGAAGATACCTAAAGAAATAGTGAAATAAACAATTACTTTCGCCATTCTACATGACTGTATACATCATTATAATTAATTCTCAATTGATACATGCACTTATTGGCTGTTGGGAAAATATTCCAAGATGTAGGTAAGCAGTAAATAAGCCAAAAATATATGTTTTTACTACTCACCATACGGATAACCTTCACGTTTAACGTATAATATTATTGAAATAATGTAAACACTTAAAGCAAACTATATACACATTGCCTTGATTAAAAATCAAGACATACAGGCTTTATCAACTCCATTTTACTGGCACAACACAAATATTTTCCACTTGCTTACACTTGGCCAGGTGCATTAGCTGACATTTATTGAATAATGCATTGTATATTGTATGTACAGGTAGTAACAAAAATTGTTTTAGATACTAGGCATATATTTATGACCAGATGATTTTCTCTGCAATAAAAACAACTATTTTTTTATCCTAAATTTAATCATGCTTAGAGGAGGAAATATTGCTCGAAAATGTTTTCTTAATGAAATAAATACTCATGGGTAAGGCTCTGCTGCGCTAAATTATTACAGATGGATGCTTTGGCTAAACGGATAACAGTCCAACGAGTCCATCTTCGGGAACACTAAAAAGAAAACGTACTTGACATTTTGAACGTATTGTTATTTTTTAAAAGAAAACATCTTAACTAAGTATCCNGTATAAGACCTAATTTGGTGAATTGAATTTCCATAGCAGCCTTTCCCAATGCTGTCTGCAATTAAAACGTTTAGTTAGCAGAAGAAAATAAAATTCATTAGTGATAAATACTTTTTAATGGACCCATTTGAAATAATAATAATACTAATTTACCTGTACAACGTTTGTTCTATCTAAACAATCAATACAATTGACTCGAAACACACCAACTTGGGAACAAATATGCCCCTGACTGTCCCTCCAACAATAGCCCATATCCCTTAGAATGTCAGTGACAGCATTAACAAGAATTGACACGTTTTCAAAATGCATCCCACGACTGCAAAAAGCAAGTTATTTAAAAAAGCCATTCAAATGTTTCTGTAATTTTTACGAACCAATATTCGTGAAAATCAAAAGTACAGTATACAAGTTCAGGGCAATTAAGCTGAAGAACGTGATTCGTGTAGGCTTCCCACACTATTCGCTCTTTTCCTGTTTGTTCAATAAGGTTTATTATGCAAACAGGTCCATATTTGGCAATTTCTTTAGCAAAATGTTTTGCAAATGCAACCTGATTTTCTTCTTCCCCTAAAAATAAAGAACTCTATTATACACAAATTTTACGTGGCAATTTCATTTCTTTTTATCTAATTATCATTTACCTTTATCAATTCTAGGCGGTGGCCTGTATTTAAACCCTGGCTGAGACCAATAAATTGGAACAGAGCCTCTAACTTGAACAAAAGACACTTCATGCTGCTGAAAGGTGACGATCTGTTCAGTTTCCACATAATTAGCACATTCTCCATTTTCATCCACTCCTCTTCTTTTATATCTAAATACAAAAACGAATTAATCAATTCAACTAAAACTTTATTACTATATTAAATACCTTATTAGAACAAAAAGGCAGAAAAAAGTAAGGTATACCTTGTTCCTGCTCTGTAACGACTTCTCCTTGAAATAAGTGTCAAAGTAAATATTTCATAATTTAATTGAGCTCCATCACTATGGACCAGAACTTTGCAATTTTCAATCTGAACAAAACCCTGTATTATTGGTAGAATCCAAGGATCACCGAAAGGATTCTGAAAACATACATATATCTACTAATTAAATATTAATTTTAAACTTGATACCTTAAAAATCCTTTTCTGATAATTGTGCTTACATTTAAATCAATGAGATCACGTAGCATGTACTTGTTCCAGAAAAATTTGTCATCTGCAATTTTCCAAAGTGCTGATGTTTTCAGATCAGTATCTTTTTCAATGCAACATAATCTTTGCAATGAGTTTGTAATATCACAGGTTTCACAGAAATAAAATGAATCAGTATCACAAAAAATTTTATAAAACTCGTCAATAATTCTTTTCTCAAATTTTTCTCTGTCTTTAGGATCCTTTTTTTTTGGTGTGCCAGTTGCAATTGCTGCAGCTTGTTGTGTTGTATTTTTTATGCTATTTCCAGCACTTTTAAGTGTTCCCCATGTTTTAGAAAACGTGGGATTTTTTTGAATGTCAAAGAAATTACTTCCTTCATATAAAAATAGATGATTAGTAAAACAGCAACTCAAAATAGTACTTTGGTTATTAATTACCTTTAAAGATGAAATTAAACACTAAGTAGATACATATTGCTTTCAAATGAAGAAGTTAGTCTATGGCCAAACAAAGATTGTGGTCAATAAAATACTTTTGTAACGTTAACTTTGTGTTTAATTTCGTTTTTAATATAGAGTTCAAAGAATTGATTCAGTATTTAATTACCTTTATTTTTTTCATTTGTATCGGACAAATGTTTGGAACACTTATCCAGTCCTAAGTCTGGATCATCTAAATTCGATTCCAAGAATACCACTGACTTTATTTTGAATAAGGTATGGGTCCCATGGATTTTTCCAACAGGTGTGCATTTTTTAATCAATAACAATCTTGGATAAAATACTGCAGGATGATATACCTTTCCAATTATTCCATAACATACACCTAAACACACTGGATCATCGGCATTTGTAAGTTCCCATCCTTTTAATAACATAAGTAAAATATAAGAAAACTATAAACCATGTTATAAACAAATCATGACATCTATTTGGGTTGCACATATAAGTTATATTACTTTACCTGCTTTTGGAATTAATGCACTTGTCTGTCGATCCCACCACAATGAATGTTCACCCTTCACAAATATATAAAAATCATCTGTTTTAAACAATTCCATTTCTTTGATAAATAAAAAACACCAATTATTGATCTGTGTATTACGAATTATTTTTCAAAATGTCACTTCACTTACCCTTTGTGTATCTATTATCTATGATGTCACTTTGACGTTTCTTATCAATTACGCCATAGATATTAAATAACTGAAGTAAGGTAGCTAGCTTCAGAATGGAATATATTTTTGCTATTTCTCCAATAGAGTGCGCTAGTTGAACTACGCCTTCGTTTTGTTTATGAGCTGTCATCTGTAATTTATAATTCCTTTAAAAAGCTCATTATCAATAATTATTAGTGCTCACTGTGCATTGTACAGTAATATTTATTGCTTTTAATTATTTTTGATAAAAGTGGTGTTAATTAACAATCTTCTGAACTGAGTAATTGTTATTTTTTAAGTCAATTATCCATCCATTCGTTTCTTCATGATCTGTCATATGTTTTCACAATGAAATAATTGTTAAAAAATTACATCAAGTTTTCTTTATAAAAGTGAGAGTGTGAAAGTAGCGAACAACGTTAGTTATTAACATGCCCTGAAGTTTACTCAGCACTAATTAATTGCTGAATGCATGCTTAACTGATAAGAAATTCAAGTGGTTCAGTTACAATGCATCGAAGAAGACCACACCACAGTAACTTTACATATGTTAGTTCATGTGTAAAATATTTAATATTTGTGCTAAACTTCATATTTTGGGTAAGCCTTACTTTTCACAAAATCAAGTTTATTGTTAAAAAGTACACTTTCAGTTATTTGGAGGATTACTAATTGGAATAGGATTGTATGCATTTGTAGATAAATGGCAGTTAACAGGTTGGGTAAAACTTGAAACTGTGTATGATGTAATTTTGAATATATCATTAGTCATGGTGATAATGGGTGGTGTTGTGTTTATAGTAAGTTTTGCAGGATGTGTAGGTGCACTACGAGAAAACACATGCCTTCTAAAATTTGTAAGTATGTATTTTGTCTTAAAATACATAATATTAACTTGGAATTTGAATAATTTCAGTATTCACTTTGTCTGTTAATATTCTTCCTGTTGGAAATGGCTGTTGCAATTATTGGCTTTGTCTTTCCCCACCAAATGCATTCCATGTTAGAAGAAAATTTCACTGACAAAATAATTCAACAGTACAGAGATGATCCTGATTTACAAAACTTTATAGATTTTGCTCAACAAAAGGTATTCTTTTTTGAAAATTCAATATTATTGTATCTACTTTTTAATTATTATTTTAGTTTCGATGCTGTGGACTTAGTTCTGAAGGCTATGTAGATTGGTCAAAAAATGAATATTTTAATTGCACTTCTCCTAGTGTGGAAAGATGTGGAGTTCCATTCTCATGCTGTATTAATGCTACTTCATTAAGTTCTGGTCTTATAAATATAATGTGTGGATATGGTGTACAGACTTTATCGGTAAGAAAGTATAAAAGAATATCTAATACAAGTAAATAATATTTTTCATTTATAAAGAAAAGAAAACGTGCAATGTTGCGCTGTAAAAATTAAACATTAAAAAACTCATGAAAATAATTTGATCAATCCATACTAGTGATATTTAATTTATGCTTATGATATGTTCTTAATCCTAATTATATAGAAAGTCAATTAAAACATAAGTTATTCTGAAACCTTGAAACTACTTGAAGATATTAATCTGCATATTAGAAAGTGCATTTATATTCCTTGGGTGGAATTCATTGTGGTGTTTCTTTTAAGGTTGCTGAAGCAAGCAAGAAAGTGTGGACATCAGGATGTATCGAAATAGTTAGGGTTTGGGCAGAAAGGAATCTCTATTTCATTGCAGGAATTGCCCTAGGGGTTGCTCTTTCGCAACTTTTTGTTATTTATTTAGCAAAGACTTTAGAGGGGCAGATCGATTTACAAAAGTCAAGGTGGGCTAGTTGAAATATTTTGTATACGCCCCTTGGGTCTAGGGTCTGTTTGTAATTACTTAAATGACATTCTGTAACCACAGTTTTTCATGTTTGCATGTTTTGTTTTTCCCCTTTTTGAAATTAACGTTTCGACTAAAATTCCATTTATTTCACAATCTCTGATTTGCTTTTATCTCTTTGTCATTGTTCTGCCTTTAGTCTTTAATATATGTGGCCACATTTTTTAAGACTGTTATTAAATCAGTTTTTAAATTTTGGTCTTAAACTGTTACACTTCGGTGACCTATCTAACTGCTAGGTATTGAAAAAAGAAATTTAAGCAAGCCCAAGTAAATTAAATAAGAATCGTTGTAATTACTTCTGAAGTGGCAAGGATTAGGAAATTATAAGTCATTTTAGAGCAAAAACAGGCGTTTAAGTGAATTTGAAAGACTGCAATAAATAATTTACTGGACTATGTTTTCAAGTCCAATAATTCTGGACAAGTGCTTTTTATTCGTAAAAAAAAACCCAAAATATTTTGTGGTAACCAAATAATATTATTGTAGGTAGATATTAAGTACCTAGTGACTGAATAATGGATTAGTATAAAATCAAAAGTCTCATAAATTATAGATTTTTATACGGAACTTGAGTGTTGTTAGGATTTAAAAGCTTATATATAAACGTAACGTGTTTTATAATATACTCTTCAATTTATTAACATCTGCATTTTTAACTTAATAGCGTTTTTGGACCGTGTATTTAATTATTGTTTTTTAGTTGAGGCTTTATGTTTTTTTGTGCTTATGTAGTGTTTTTTCCATGTTATTTTTACGTTTATTTTATTAAAAAATGTTTGTTATAAAAGTTTTCAAGTGGCTAAAAGGTATTAAAAAAACTGCTCATAAAAGCAACCTATACAAGGTTTGAAAACGTCCACTCTTATGCGAACGTGCCAAAAATAATTAATCAACATTTACAATCGTCCATTTAACAATAAATTAATAATTTTACTCTGCTTGGGTGAGTGTTTGTCAATTAATGGCTTTTATGTACTATTTGATCATTGTTTTTTAATCACCCTCTTAAATTTTGTCGTCAATTTCTTTTTTGCAGATACTACAAAAATAGGGAAATTGAGGAACGTTTGTATTACTTTTAGGTAAAATGATTAAGAAATTATCTACAATATTCTCAAATGAATGATTTGAAATTATATTTATCTATTGAGAACATACTTAAAGAGCTCAAATGATGTTTTGTGTATAAAGTTGCTTAAAAAAGGTGTTATTTTAAGCATCTTAGTAGCTACTTGTATATGGAATTTTTTTTCATAGTCATTCAAAACGAAAATTAAGCTACTCATCTTTTTAACTCTTAGGTATATTACTTTTATATGTGGGTTGTATGTATCTCATTTAATTTAATANTGGAAGATACTGAGGGTACAGAGTTAGACCCCTGTTGGGCCATTGATGACACTTTAGTATCAGATTTAACAGTGGAAGATACCTAAAGAAATAGTGAAATAAACAATTACTTTTGCCATTCTACATGACTGTATACATCATTATAATTAATTCTCAATTGATGGTATTGTTAATATCATAGACATATATTAAACGTCGATGGTTAATATTGTCGGCCATTATAGTTTTTAATTATTGCTGTTGTCGGCCATTATAATTTTGCATTACAGTATATTTTATGGATATTGTATTATATATCAATGATCGTTCCAAGGTCAAGTAAAACGTCAAGCACATCTTAACCTCAATCTATCCAGTGAAATTGTATTCCACGTAAGCAATCCTTTATATTAATTAATTGAAAATGAACGGCTGTTTGATGGTATTTATTTGAAAATTGTAATTACGCCTTGTTTAATATTCTTTATGTTTTTAGGAACCAACTTTATATACAGTGAAAGGTATAGCTATACTCGACAATGATGGTAACAGAATTTTTGCAAAGTACTACGATAAAAATGCATTTCCTACTGCTACAGAACAAAGAACCTTTGAAAAAAATCTTTTTAATAAAACACACAGAGCCAACGCAGAAATAATTATGTTGGATGGCTTAACTTGTGTATATAGGAGCAATGTGGACCTGTTCTTTTATGTGATGGGTTCTTCACATGAAAACGAAGTTAGTGTGTTACTTATTTCGTGTTATTAAGATGTTTATCTAAAAGTTACAAATTTTAGCTGATTTTGATGAGTGTGTTGAATTGCTTGTATGACTCTATTAGTCAGATATTAAGAAAAAATGTAGAAAAGAGAGCTGTTATGGAATCACTTGATATTGTTATACTAGCAATGGACGAAATATGTGATAATGGGTATGTTGTATAGGTTTTCAAGTATTAAGATAATATATTAAGGGTAGTTATTATTTTTTAGGATCATACTTGATGCAGATTCAAGTTCAATTGTTTCTAGAGTGGCTTTACGTACAGATGACATTCCATTAGGGGAACAAACAGTAGCACAGGTAATTGATACTGTTCATTCGTTATTTTGGTGAAAAACTTTATTTTATTATTTTTGCACATTTTATTTTCTGTCCATTTGTATTTTTATATTAATAAAATTTAATGAGTATTTCATTAAAATATTTTACTACTGATTACTGTTAGTACGCTTTACTTTTCCAGGTACTACAATCTGCCAAAGAACAATTAAAGTGGTCTCTATTAAAGTAAGTTTAATTGACTTATTTTACTTTACTGTAAAAGAAACTTATCAAGGGGTAAGATAATTATTTAGGCCACTTGTATTTTGCTTCTTTCAAAAATTAAAGTTTATTTGTAACATGTTACTTTATTTATAAACTATTACATGCAAATATTTTTACTCAACTTAAAAGACTGATAATTATGTAGTGAAAAAGTAAAGAGGCTTTAAATGCTTTTATTTTTAAGTACATAATTCTAATATTTT